AACACGGAACATTTTAATTATATTTTGCTAAAATGAACGAAATGGCTCGAAAAAAGATTTGTTCATTTTGTTGAACGAGACTCAAAGGTCCGAGTCGGTAAAATGATCCGAACTTCCCATCACTAACCAGCAGCGGCGAGCACAAGTGCCTTCAGCACCGCTGAATGAGTTCCGCGTTCAAACGCACGCAATAGGCTAAAGCAGGGGTGGGCAAACTTTTTGACTCGAGGGCCACATCAAGTTTTCCACATTAACAGTCTATTATTTTAATGGTAGGTTGATTTGAACAGTGAGAGACAAATAACAAAAAAAATCCCTTTAAGAGAGTGCTCCTAATCTCAACTCGTTACCTGTATAAAAGACACCTGGGAGCCAGAAATCTTGCTGATTGATAGGGGATCAATTACTTATTTCACTCATTAAAATGCTGTCTCTCACTGTTCAAATAAACCTACCATTAAAATTATAGACTGATCATTTCTTCGTCAGTGGGCAAACGTAGAAAATCAGCAGGGGATCAAATAATTTTTTCCTCACTGTATACTGTATGTATACTTGTACATACATGGCAGTTCTATTCTTGTACCATCGCTACCTTATTTTTTTATGAGCACTTTATGACATAGATAAGTTGCATTGGTGTACAAGTTGATTGATGTATGACACATTTTTTTCATTTCATTTAGAAATAACGTAAAATAAACAAAACGTTTACAAACATTAGAAACATGCATTTGCAGGTGCATCTCAGTAAATTAGAATGTCATGGAAAAGTTCATTTATTTCAGTAATTCAACTCAAATTGGTATGTGTGCATTTAATTTATTTAATACACGAGTTTCACAATTTGAGTTGAATTACTGAAATAAATGAACTTTTCCATGACATTCTAATTTATTGAGATGCACCTGTATATTCCCCACAATCCACAAAAAAAATCCGTAAAATTTAGCAGTGTTCAGAATAGAAAAAAGGATTGAAAATACAAGTAAAAAACAAACACAAATTATAGTGGCATTCACTATAAACATTTATTATAAACGCCCAGCCTAAATAAAGCAAAACTGAAACTAGCGGCGTTATTGCTAGAAAACGCACAGTACAAACTCACTTAGCTTTTCTCATTCGTCACCAATCCTAATATGGGCGCTTTGCGCTTGACCTTGATTGCTTTATATAATTTGCCTTGGAAATCGCAGCATGTTTCAGATGAAAAAACAACAACAACACAATTTATAATCCAGAAAAAATAGTACTATATCTATTTTCATAAAAATGTGTGTGGAAAACAGAAGAAAGCATATTTTTGCAAGATAAAATGACAAGTTATTTCCATGTTTTCCTCACGAAATTACAGTGCACGTGAGCAGGAGGATAAAGCTGGCATTTGTTCTGATACTGGAAAGTCTACAGAGCATTTTAAGCATTTTTAAAACGGTACCAATACAAGGTATTTTTCAAAACAAACTACGGGCCGTAGTTTGGACACCCCTAGGCTAAAGCTTGCCGCAAAGCACCGGCAAAAGTAATTACCATTAATGTGTTGGGGGGGGGGGAGTAAGGAGATATTTGAATTATTTATTAATAAACTAGTGTTTTCTGAGTCCGTGTTGCAAGGATGAAGTTGCCGATCCTGACTCGCCATCTCCTCAATGGACGCGCCTTTAAGCCGCTTTTCCACCTGGAACCATTACCTGGAACAATTTGTCCCAGGAACTGTTGCCATCTGCGTTTCCATCGCGGTCTAAAGTGCTGTGAATAATAGACAAATAGTCTGGTGACGTAGGTCTGCGCGTGTTTCTCAATATCAAGTACTCGAATTTCGGACTTGCATCCTCGGTAGTTTGGACTTTGAGAGTTCGATTCGGGAGTGTGAACTCCTGCCAGACGGGACGACGCAAGTCCGGTAATTCTGCAAACAGCAGCGTATTTGATAACGTCAGTCAGCTCGCCTTGGCTACTGCAATTTTACTCCCTGTATTTACAATAAGACGAAATATGATATCAATCACCACCTCCTTTTGTTTTGATTTAAACATATTAATAGCTGCAGAAATGTAGTTCAGGGAATGTATATAGCCTACATTACAATGAAACTAAATATTATATCGAACAGTATTGCCTCTTTGAAAAAGTACTACCTCGCGAGCAGGGACTTTCTGATGGGCAAATTTTTACCCGGAACTTTATTTAGATCCTGGTTCCTGCGGTGGAAACACACCGAGTACTGGCCCAAAGTCCTTAGTTCCTGCGTAAAGTTCCTGTGGTGAAAACGGGGCTTTAGAGAGAAATGCATCCTTACGGATTACACAATGAAAGAGTTTTTGTTTTTGATTTGTTTTATTTCATTAAGTAGTAATTTAAAGCTTTCTATAGTAGAGGTCGACCGATATCGGTTTTTCTCTGGCCGATGCCGATATTTAGAATTCAGGGCAGCCGATGGCCGATATAGGATGCCGATATTCTTTTTCTTTTTTCCCCTTCATCTCATTAAAGAGAGTTTGAGTAAATGTTTACTGCAGGGTACAAGATAGTAGTAATAATAGTAGTAGTAGCCTAATTCATAGTAATAATACAAAACTTAAGCACCTTCTCAAAACCGTTCTGAAGCATGCTTTTTGTTTATGTTTGCTGACAGACACCAGTGTTTCCCACAGACTTGCAAATGCAAATTCATTCTCTGCCAGCAGGAGGTGATGTTTGAGTGGGAGATATAGCGGTTTTCCCGGTAACGGCTGTAATCAAATAAGTGCTGCCCTCACAAACGCTACTTTATCAGGCATTAACGTTACAGGAAAGAAGAAATGAAAATGACATCAAAGTTTCTCTGAAGACGGTCGGTTCTTTTCAAAGACACATTCATATAAAAATACACGGGCTGCATTAGTCCTGGGCGGTATACCGGTTCATACCGAATACTGGTTTTTATTTTTGTTACGATATTAATTTTTAAAATACCGCAATACCAGTATATGTCACTTAATCAACGTTCGGAACGCGACACTGTTTGAAAGGGGTGTTGCACTGTGGTGAGGGAACAGCTGTATGTGTTATTAAAGCCCTATTCACAGGGGATTAGTATTACGGGGTGACCTCCAATCATTTGTAATAATTGCGGAGGTTGTCTGTAATCTTAATCCCGTGCGAATCGGCCATGTCTGTAATTTGTAAAGTAAAAATTCCCCCGCAAATGACCTACCATATTTCGCCGAACATCGAGGTCCTGTGATAATATTAGTCTCGTGCGAATCGGCATCTCTGTGATTCGGCCAGCATTTGACAGGTTGCATATCCTTTTTCGAGGTTTTTGTTTGCTGTGCGCCTTTTTATCCATCTTCCGCGAAGAATGGAGCTGCGTTAATGTGTTTGATACTATTTTGGGTGCTGTCATCATATCGCTACACCATACAATTTGCAGAAAGAGAAAGCTGAGAAGGTTTTGAGGTTAATGTGTTACAAATAAATCAAGCATAAAGCTTGAGATATTATTTTAACCTGGTGAAATGTAAATGACACAGCGCACGAAACTATATTAGTTTCTTTATATCACATGCACTTTTTTGTTTGTTGTTTTTTTTAGTCACTCAGACGCAGGCAGTGCTCTGCATGAGACAAAAAAGTAATATAGCCAAAACAACCGCATAGCCGCTCTTTAGTGTAGATGCATGTTGATTTTATCAGACGATTATAAATGAGAGTGACTCCTGGTTAACATGTATTAAAAGGGGTCGTGTTTAGTCACTATTTAGTGTGGTATTTTTTGACAATATTCACTCATCATGACAGTAAAATAGGGCATTCTAAGTCAATATACTGCAGTATTTCCTCTCTCAATCAGTAGAAAATATGGTTAACACCCGGTCATGCATGAAAAAAAAAATACCGTCTTGTACCGTGAAACCGGTATAATTTTTAAAAATACCGTGATATAAATTTTTGGTCATACCGCCCAGCACTAGGCTGCATTTTAATTTTGAAACGTGCAGTGCTTAGTTTATTCAAGGAAGTATAAGCCTTTTGGAAAATCTATTTGTGGCGGTTTTGATATAATGACGAGCCGCCACAAATAACTCAATGTATGGGAAACACTAGACACTGCTATAAGTCAATTGGCCATAATCTAATTGATAAAAATAAAAGTTCACTCGTATTGCACAGCCTGCAGCTCACGAGCGATGACATCGTGGACTGGAGCACTAGCGTAGCCAGGAATTACAATGTGGGTGGGCCCAGAGAAAATGGGGTTGGCCTATCCTAAAATACATCTGTTATCAGTGTTGCCAAGTCTGCGGTTTTCCCGTGGAATTGGGCTACTTTAACACTGTTGCCGCGGGATGTTTTTCATGTCCGCAGGTTGAAAAACGACCCCAATAACGCGATAGCCCATGCAATGCGAATTTTTCCAGGGGAAACCTGCCAAAACACGTGTATTTTATCACCGGAACGCGATTTTTAACGGGGATCCCCCGCAAAACGCATTTGGGCTAGTTTTGGGCTAGTTTTGAGTAGCGATTGGGCGGGTTTTGTTGTGAAAACCTGGCAACCCTGTCTGTTATCAAAATAGGCCAACACAACTAACAATTACACCTGCTTGAATTTACATCACCGTTTAATCAGAGCATACGCCTATATGTCATCATAAGTAGTGTTAGAAAATAATGATAAGAACAGCATGAGCACGACGGCCACACCACACACACGCGCATCTGACAGACGCAACACAACACCATCATCAAATCAGCAGAACAGTAGTAATGGACAGTATGTAAAACCCATGCTTGGTCATAGTCTGGCTCGGCGGCCACATAAACCACATGAAATAAACAACAGTGACTAGGCAGCTAACGCTAGGAAAATGTAGATTTTTGTACCTGTACACTGGTGTGTATGGGAGGTAACCTTTAGAGAATGGAGCGCTGCTGGTGATGGAGAAATATGTAAATTAATGTTAGCATTAGCAGAGCTGTTCAGCTCCTTGAGCGTGAAATATGCAGGGACGTTTCATTCATACTCGAAGCCGGAGGGCACAAGCACAAAACGGACTCATAGAAGTAACGTGACATGCCAGGAAAACCCTAATATGGACAAAGGCATGTATAATGGCATCCAGCGATCTCTGCTGTAGCTAAGGGGCTGTTTGCAAACTTATCTTCATCATTATTTGGCAAAAAAGAAAAAGCAACAACACAATTAATTTTTATAGATAACATATTGTGATTATTGCAACATAATTCACAATGATTAGGCTACCTTCTGACACAACTGACTGGGTGGGCCTGACTGACAGGTGGGTGGTCCCAGGCCCACCCATAGCTACGCGGCTGGACTGGAGACTGTCGGATCCACAGACACATTTAATGAGGAAAGTTAATGTGCACATTATAGTCAGCCCAGAAGTTAGTCTGAATTGCACATATTTCTACTTTCACATACAAATGACTTGAGGCTCTTACAAATATGATAAGCACGGTCGCATCAATTCTAGTTGGGTAAAACGTAATTACGCATTCGAAACGGTCTGTTTTGCCCTGCCATCATTAGCTGAAGCTGTGTGTTAAGGCGCGGCTGCAGAGTGTGAGCTGCTCTGTTTCATGCAGCCTCTGAGGGAGAGATATTCTCCGGTCTGGCGTTCCACAACAACGCTTAGCTGCCCGCAGATGCGCCTGCCTATAAATCGGCCTAATTTGCAGCACAATGCAGCCGATGCCGATTAATTTAAAAATGCCAAACATCGGCCGATTAATAGGCCGGCCAATCAATCGGTCGACCTCTATTATATAGATATATTTATCATGTCTGTGAGGCAAGTATTTGCTGAGTTTCTGTTCATTTTTGTGAAGTGCTCCTGTTCAAGACCGAGATGGCAGAAAGCGCATCATGTTTGTCTTCTTTATTTTATAAAAGCATGTTTTGTTGATATTGTGAGTGCACGTAAATAAAACTAGACCCTTTACAGCTCCGAATGATGTATTACTCTTATATTTATGAGCAAAAATTATGCCATATTTTAAGTAGTTTCCACTGAAAAAAATGCAAGTGATCGCGCTGGTGCCTCCATATCCTGCAAAGCACACTTCAGCTTCCACTCTTCCCACACATGATCTGTTATGCGCCTAATAGCGCACATTTGTCTAGGTTTAAAGTTTAACCCTTTCGCACGTGAGTTTAAAATATTCTAGCTGAGCCCCCAGCGTGAGTTTTTTTTTAGGCGACCGTTATTTTAGAATGTGTCGCCTTATTGTTTCCATGGCAACGCGTCACGCTTGTGATTAGGGCTGCACGATAAATCGCATGCGATATTTAATGCGCATTAATGGAAGAATTAGATGTGCTGCTCTCAAACTTTCCTGAGCATGGTAATCCCCTAGTTATGCTTAATTTAACATTTTAATGGACCATCACCTTCAACTCAACCTGGCTAAGACAGAACTTCTACAAACCCATTGTTTCAACAAACCCATTACTTTATCAAAATTTCACCATCCAGTTAGGTTCATCAACCATAACTCCTTCAAAAACAGCTAGAAACCTTGGAGTTGTGATTGATGATAAGCTAGGCCCTTTCTTTCAGAACGTGCAACACAACTTCTTGTTCAAGCTCTTGTTCTATCCAGGCTGGACTATTGCAATGCTCTCTTGGCAGGTCTTCCAGCCACTTCTATCAAACCTCTACAATTAATCCAAAATGCTGCTGCAAGATTAATCTTTAATGAGCCGAAAAGAACGCATGTCACACCTCTGTTCATCAATTTGCACTGGCTACCAGTAGCTGCTCGCATTCAATTCAAGGCATTAATGTTTGCCTACAAAGCCACCATCTTGGGTCGGAGTCGGGCCAAGAATGTTGATAAGCTGTCGGACAAGGGCCAGGCTATGGCCTATATTTGAGGCCAGTGCAGGGCTCTAAACAGCGCTACCAAATCTGCTTCTGGTGCCTCCATATGTAGAACTTAGTGGCGCTGCTCTCAAATGTTAGTCTGGAGCCCTACATCAGGGTTAACTTATATGTTCACATTTCTCAGCTTTTTACAATTTACTAATTTTACTTTTATTTCAGAGTTGATTGAAGAAAGAATGGACAATGAAGAATCAAGTGAATGTGAGGAGAAAAATCATGTCAAAACTGGAGAAAAACCTTTAAGTTGCTTTCAAACCAAACAGAAAGATTTAAAGAAAAGAAAAGACAATAAATATTTCACCTGCGCTCAGTGTGGAAAGAGTTTCACATGCAAAACAAGTCTTGACCATCACTTGAGAGTTCATAGAGGAGAGAAGCCGTTCACTTGTAATCAATGTGGGAAGAGTTTCTCACAATCATCAAACCTTAATGATCACATGAACATCCACACTAGAGAGAAGCAGCACATATGCGATCAATGCGGTAAAATGTTTTTATGGGCTTCAGTTCTGAAGAAACACTTAAAAGTTCATACAAAGGAGAAGCCACATTCATGCCATTTGTGTGGTAACAGTTTTTTGCATCTAGAAATTTTTAAAGAACATCAGAAAATACATACTGCTGTGGGAGAGTACATGTGCTATGAGTGTGAAAATACTTTTATTTCAGCTGAACATTTGAAACTGCATGAGAGGATCCACACTGGAGAAAAACCTTACAAGTGTTCACACTGTGACAAGAGATTCAGTCGGTCAGGAATCCTGAAATCACATGAGAGGATCCACACTGGAGAGAAACCTTATAAGTGTTCACACTGTGACAAGAGATTCAATCAGTCAGGAGACCTGAAAACACATGAGATGATCCACACTGGAGAGAAACCTTATAAGTGTTCTCACTGCAACAAGAGATTCAATCAGTCAACACATCTGAAAACACATGAGAGGATCCACACTGGAGAGAAACCTTATAAGTGTTCTCACTGCAACAAGAGATTCAATCAGTCAACACATCTGAAAACACATGAGAGGATCCACACTGGAGAGAAACCTTATAAGTGTTCTCACTGCAACAAGAGATTCAATCAGTCAACACATCTGAAAACACATGAGAGGATCCACACTGGAGAGAAACCTTATAAGTGTTCACGCTGTGACAAGAGATTCAGTCGTTCATCAAATCTGAAAAGACACGAGAAGATCCACACCGGAAAATAACTGTATCACTGCACTGCATGTGGGAAGTGCTTCAATCATTCATCTGCTCTACACAGTCATACAAAAAACAATCACAGTAAGGCCCCGACCACACAGAGATGCGTTTAGCTGTATACGTAAATATTTTGTATCGTATCGGCATTTCGTCCAGATGGATGCAGCGTTTTGGGAGCCTGAAACAGCTTTTTTTTTAAACCGGGTCCCAGAGTGGATAAATCTGAAAACAATACCTTTGTTTTTTTGTGTGTATAGTCAATCCGTCTATTTTGTAAAACAATTAAGTCATCACCCCACGTCTTGACCCTAGTCAGACACCGCTACATCACGTAACAGCAACAACAATAACAATGGCAATTGCTTCTTGAAAACTTCAAAAAAATGCTTCTGTTCGTGCAGCAGAAGCTACTGAGCCTATTAGCTTTACTAACTTTACTAGCTTTTCTTGTTGTTGTGTTGGGTTTGTATACAGCACGCAAGGTTTATGAACATGCTGCAAGTCTTCTCTGTTTTTAGTGTATCTCTGTGGCAGAATTACAGTGCTACATACTGGTCTGGCATGTATATGGATACGCATCCCTACTTGTAAGTCAGTAGGAGAGAGATATCCATCTCATTAGTTAGCATTTTTATTTTCAGTAATTAATGATCACTTTTGCTTTGAGTAATTATTAAATGTTACCTTTTTATTAATACACTATATATACTTTTTATATTTTATCAACAACTTTTGTGGTCTGCTGATTGTATTTGCATAGGGAAAAAGTAATTTTATATATTTTTTTTAATAGTTGAAAGCCATGATGTTTTGAGCGTTGTTTTAAATTTCTAAATAAAGATTTTAAATTTAATTGAATTTAAAGCCTTTATTGTCATTGAATTTTTCTGCATACAGTGAAATTAGGAGCACTGCTCCTGACTGGTGTTAGAAAATGAACATGTAACCACAGACAATACATGAGACTATAGCCTGTACAGTATAAATATAAAGGTATATACAACAAGTGACTACGTCATAATATTGTATAATATCATAATATCTTTTATTTACATCGCGTCTGCACTTAGTCATGAGATGATTCACGAGCACGTAAAACTGCACTTAATAAAAACCGATCCAGTGCTTTCAGCGGTGAGTGAATTCTGACAAACTTAAAAATTTCTGATTGGCCATTGTGTTCAAGAAATCAACAAATATGTCTGTGATTGGCTGCATTGCTCAATGCTGCAAAACATGTTGGATAGTTTGCCAGATCTTCAATTGCTTTTGCTTTCGTTTGAAGGTATTTAGCACTGTCTAGTACCCCCGTACATCCGGGCCTGGGCTTGGCTAACCGCTTATATATACAGGTGCATCTCAATAAATTAGAATGTCGTGGAAAAGTTCATTTATTTCAGTAATTCAACTCAAATTGTGAAACTCGTGTATTAAATGAATTCAATGCTCACAGAACCTGTATATATATATATATATATATACACTACTCACAAAAAGTTACATATATTCAACTTTCAGGTGAATTTTATGGAAAATGTAAAAAGTTCATGCTGCAGTGATATTATATCATGAAAGTAGGGCATTTAAGTAGAAGCATGCAATGGTAATTTCTTAATCTCAAACAATGTATTGAAACGTCTGATAACCTATCAAAGTTTCCTTATGTAAAACAATTCATTTGTAAATAATTAGATAAATGTATTACAAAACATTAATTGATACATTTTATATTAGCCTAAGCTTTTGCCTTCTCAATATTCTAATTTCATGCAACTACTAAAAATAATAAGATGTGTATTTAAAGGTTGGTTAGTTAGTACAGTTGGTTAAACTGAAGTCTTACCTGATCTGTGTGTGCCTCACCGACACTTTGAACATTTTGAAACCGAAAGAGCAAATGTGACTGACGTAGAGCACGTATACAGCGTGCGCGCCCCCGTGTGGAGGCTTTACGCTGCTGTAACATATTCTACACAAACAATCAGAGACAGCGATTCTGCAGTAACACAGTCACTGTTAAGTGTGTGTGTGATGACTGAGATGAATGGAGTCTCTTGAAATCTCTGTAGGATCAGGATGATCTTCAGCACACACGAGTGTCATCATCACTAATCACAAAACACAATCAAACACTATGGGGGTAGAATTGTTGCATTATTCCAAATAAATAGATTATGATCCACAAATAAATGTAAATATGTTTCTTATAATCTCTTTAGATTTATTTGGAATAATGCAACAATTCTACCCCCATAGGATCTGGCATCCGGGGCTGGATCGGATATTTCTGGCATGGACACACTATCAGGTGAAATACAATTTATTAAACTTTTATGAGCTCTGAGTAAAAAATAAATAAAAAATGCAAAGCCCCAAAATCAAATAGCTTCCAGAACTAAAATTATGACATTATTCTTAATACAAGCAGAATCAGAAAATAAAAAATGGACAATAACAATAAGCTGTTGATACAATGTGTAAGGAATTGAATCAATCATTACTCGAAACAAATACAAGAACCTTTACTGACGACCTTTACTGACTTACAAGACAGGCTGGTAAATTTTCTCAAGTCACCAGCCACTGGCAGATGTGGCAAAAAGTTAATTTTAGGCCCTGCTTGCAAGAGTGGAAATTAGGACAAAAGCAATTTCCCTACTTTAGAGTGAGGTAAAATAATATACATGTGAAATACTCATTTTCGTTTATTTCACAGTGCAATTGACCGTTCACAGGGAGCTTGATTGACAGGCGATCTGACCAATCAGAATGCAGATATTATGTGCCGCCACTGCTATCT